GAGACTCTGTTACCCTGGGCAACCCAGGTCAGGGCCCGGCTCATTCTTCGGACGGGGCCCGGCCACCACGCTGGCGCCCCTGTCCTCTTGGCAGGACAAGTGCACTCTCTCTGGCTGATCTGGAGAAAAGCCAATCCGCCTTGGGTCTCTTGCCTGTCCGGGTGGGACTGCTGCAAGCCTAGCAGGCTTTTTTTTTTTTTTGCTGAGCAGCTGTGTAACCACCATGTGCAGGAAACCGCCTAGGCACTGCCAAAATCTGCAGCACCTGGGGTGTTTGTGTGGGGACAGGACTCACGCTGCTTCATTTCAAGCGGAAACAGCGTTTCTGACTCTGCCCGGTCACAAAGTGCTTGGCTGCTCATCTGTGCAGGCTCCGGCAACAGTTGCATTGGGCCTGGCAGCCCTCTTCGGCTCAAGCACGGAGCCACTAGTGTGTTTTTCTGGCGCTCCCTTCCAGCGAGTCCGGCTGCTGCCTCTGGCGGACAGCACTTTTAACTGGAGCTGCTGGGGATCGTGCGGGGGGGGGGGGCCCCTCCTGCAGGTGCATCAGGGGCTCAGCCCGGGCTACAGCCCCCCCCCCAAAGCTGAACCACTTAATCTGGGGAGGAGCCCTTGATTTGCCTTTGTGACGTCTCCTGGTGCTGAAGCGACTGGCCCAGCGCCCAGAGAAGTAACTCCACAAGAGCCTTGAGGCCCTTTGGGGGAGCTGCCGCCGCTGCTGCCCGGTTCTTCTCCCCCACCCCCAATGCAGAGGGAGCCATTTCCTCCGGCCAGCTGCCCCTCTCGAGGGAGGGGTTCTCCTGCCCCATTTGGTGCTCTTGGCTTGTCTGAGTTTGTGAGCACAAAGGGTGCGCTGTCTGCCAAGGAGGGAGGCTACCTACCCTTCCACCACCACCCCCAACGCTGGAAGAGCTGAAAACATTGGCTGGTTTTCCTTGGAGGGGGTGGGGCTGCAGGAAGAGGGAACGGCAGGTTTGATGTGAGAACTGGGGGCAGAACGGACCCTCTCCAAAGCCAGCACTTCAAGGTGAGGTTAGCTGAAATGTTCCCCAGACTGGGGGACCGTCCTTTAAAACAGCACTATCCACTTAGGGCCGTTTCGGCCCCTTCTCCCCCTGCCCCCAAAGCTCAAATGGTATGGACCGAACCAGCATCAACCGTCATTTGCGTTCTGTCTTTTCTCCAAGCAGGTCCTGTTGGCACATGCAGGGTTTATCCTAGTCTGTGCTCAGTGCAACACAGCCTGGTGGCCTCGCGCGGGGAGCAGCAGTTTCGCCAAAGCCTCTTGGCGAGCAGACCGGATCCTGCGGGCTAGCAACTGGCTCCTTTGCTTTTCAAGGAAAAGCAAGGAAGTCTCAAGAACCTGAGTACGGACAGCAGGATATCAGCAGGGGATATCAGCTTGCTTGGCAAACCAGTGTGGGGTATGTGGGAGAGAGACTGTTTCCTGACAATGAGGCCTTACCTGTTCTCACACATTTCTGGCATCACAGAGAATCTCTGTTCAAGTGAGCCCAGGTGATTAATGTGCTTAAGTCTGGGGAAATACTGAGCACGTCTCAAAAAGCTATTGTGTGCCTGCACGCTACTGAGCTGCTCTGCCTCCTGCTTCTTCCTGTTCCCCTCCCAGGTTTAGGCATGCACAGTCCCCCTTAACTTGGTTCTGAATGGCTGACATGACAGAGACTGTACATTTGCAGATGTGGCAGAGAAAGGTCTCAAACCCAGGCCTTTTGGAGCCAACTCCCCATCGTCTGGCCACAAATTCCAGGGGGAAACGCTTTTTCCTTTAAAGAAAACCAGATCTCACATGCTTGGTGGGCACCAGAAGAAAGCATCGCAGCTAAACTGCTGGGAAGAGGGATTCCGGGGGGGCTGAGCCCCTTCTCTGGGGTGCCTTCTCCCGCCCCAGTTGACTTTCCCTTCTAGGTCAATGACAGACTTTCCCTCCCACAGCCACACCAGAAATATGCCTAAGAAAAGTCACAAATCTCTGGTGGTGGGGGAAGCTGTCAATGCCACCCTAGGCAGAGTCCGACCAGTCTAAGCTCCTTAACGTTAGTGGACAGAGAGGGGCGTAACTAATTAGGATGCCCCCGTGGGTCTCCTTTCAAAACTCAGTATCCCACGCCTCTTTGCTCACTCACTGCTATATCCAATCCAGACAGGAGGGCTAATAAAACTGGACCTGCTACACGGGGGGGAACAGTCCTTGCTCCCTTCCCCCCCCAACATCTCTTCCAGCCAGAGTCCCTAAATTCACACGAGGCTGTTCACGCCACGCAGCCACAGAATTTAGGTTTCCGAGAATCCCGGCTTTCATTTTGAAAAAAGCAAGTGTCTGGTTCCCATGGATAGGACTGAGGCACGAAATGATGGCCTGGTCAATAGGGGTGGGGAGACACACACTGTGTTCCAACCCCCCACCACCACAAAGTTCACTGGGCGGCCTTGGACCAGCCCGCGTCACTGGATCATTGTGGAAACAGTGACGCTGGCCTTTTGTTCACTGCCCTGGGTAGGTTTCAAAGGATAAAGGAAAAAGAGAAAAAGGCTGGGGAATGAGATGCTTATCAAATGAAGTTAACCATTTGTCATGAAGAATAATAGTCAGTACAACACTATCCAACAGGTGAGTACTACATACAATAACTCAATACAAACCAATGACATAATTACAAGTAATAATTCAACAGCGAAGTATAAAATACAATTGCTCTATATAACTCCACAATTCAACAGGAAAGTGAAATACAACTACTATATATAACACCAACGAAGGTTCTGGATTAACCATTTCATTCAGCTGCTTCTTCAGGAGTATATTACATGATATGGTCGTGTCTCTGTATTTCTTCTATAATGGTATTCCAATTATACAGTGATCAATGTGATGTCAACATAATTAACCGCAAGTTTCCTAACGGGCACCAGTCAAAAAGCTTATAGTTTTATTACTGACTTAGTTGCTGGAATGCCTGCTTTAAGCTTTTTCACTGGTGCCCATTTAGGAAGTTTACTGTTTATCATTCCGTTATAAGTATACGGAGACATTCCAGCAATAGAGTTAATAACAAAACTATACTTTAAGCTTTTTGACTGGTGCCCGTTAGGAAACTTGTGGTTAATGATGTTGACATCACATTGATCACTGCATAATAATAATAATAATAAAAATAAAATATTGTCATTGTACATAGTACAACGAAATTAAAGGTGCAATAATTTCAGTGATCTACAGCCATACTCATATACACTCACACAACCATTCACAACCATCCCATAACTCCCTTAAGGTTCACATTGCAACTTAAACCACCAATGTCACCCAAATTCCAATTTCATACAGCATTTAAAGCACTAATAGCTCTCAAATAAAAACTGTTTTTTAATCTGTTTGTCCTTGTTTTAATTGTCCTATATCTTCTACCCGAAGGAATACCATTATAGAATACAGAGAAACTACCATATGATGTAATATACTCCTGAAGAAGCAGCTGAACGAAACGAAGAGTTAGTCCGGAGACGTCATTGGTGTTATATATAGTAGTTGTATTTCACTTTCCTGTTGAACTGTGGAGTTATATAAAGCAGTTGTATTTTATACTTACCTGTTGAATTATTACTTGAAATTATGTCTTACTGATTTGTATTGACTTATTGTATGTAGTACTCACCTGTTGGACAGTGTTATATTGACTATTTCTTATTCTTTATGCTAAATGGTTAACTTCATTGGATAAGCGTCTCATCCCCAGCCTTTTTTCCTTTTCCTTTATGGTTTTTGCTGGGTGGTCTCTTTGTATATAGGTTACAAAGGAGGCAGTAGGATGCATCAGTCTCAGAAGCTCAAAAGGGACCAAGCCATTCCCTCCCAGCCTTGGGCCTCCCCTCGCCCTTCTCTGCAATACAGGGGGGGAAACGACGCTGGTCGACTTTGCAGGGTTGTGGCAAGAGAATGCGCTTAAAACACTCTGAACACTGGGAGAAAATTGCTGTTTCTCCAAGAAGACCCTTGTGTCGGGGTAGACATTACATACTTTGGGGGCAACATGTTCCACGCTTGTTATTGACACCGTGACAAATGCATTGTAATAAGCCAAATTAGTTGTGGTGCAGCGGTAAATATGGGTCCATGTCCTTCGCTGATTTCCTCCCCTTCTTTGGTTTGGGAGCCGGTGTGGTACAGTGTTTTGAGTGCTGCTCTAGGACCTGAGAGACCCAGGTTGAAATCCCCCTGGAAGCTTTCTCTGTGAGCTTGGGCCAGTCACACACTCTCAGCCTAACCCACCTCACGGGGTTCTCGTGAGAAAAAAAACGGAGGAGAATGATAAAAGCCGCTCTTAGTTCCCTCTGGGGAGAAAGGCTGGGAATAAAGGAAATCAAGTAAACAAAAGTTAGAGAGGATTTACAGCTCTGCCAAGAAAGTCTCCTGGCCCAGAAAAAAATGGCTCCCAGCCATCCTGACAGGCAGAGAGAGGCACCCTTTCCATGCTACCCGGCTGCCTGCTCTGGCGGCTCAGGTGAGGCAACCCAGCCTGGATTCCCAGGCCGGGATTGGGTGGGCGGCTCAGGTGAGGAGCTGCCTGGGGAGACGGCCAGCCAACCAGCTCCGAGTTCACTCCAGGCCACGCTGTCCCATTGGCACGGCAACGGCTCCATCGACTCTCTGCCGGCTTCTTCGACTCCAGGGCAGCAGAAATGTGAAACTTCCCCATCCCTCTTCAAAGCCAGGCTGCCGCCTCCCCTTAACAGGGTTCCAGCAGAAGCCCTTCAGCCGGGCCCCTGAAAGAACTGCCGTGCTGGATCAGCCCCCTGCCCCCGGTCTGTTTAACCTAGTTCGGATCCCATCCCTGGAGCAGCTCACCGTCATGGGATCAAAGGGGTAGCCTGTTTGTCAGTCTATCTGTCCCCTCCATCTGAAACTGAGGGATACACAAAAAGCCATAGCCCCGTCTATGACTGCACTGGAAAGACAGCCTCGGTCTGTGGATTCAGGGTGCAAACAGACTTTAATGAGGAAAACAACCCCTACAACAGCAAACATGGAAGACTAACCCCCCCTCCCTTCTTCGATCCCTTCTGTGCACAGACCAGCCTTCATGTTCCAGTTCTTTCCAGAGGGCAGAAGGCTCTGTCCGAGGTTCAGACCTATCCAGCTGGATCTTCCTGCCCACCCCCTCAACTGGCCAACAGGGAAGGAAGCGACTTCAGGAGCAGCACGGTCAATACAGAGTCTACAGCAGTTAAGGCACATGGGTGACAAGAGTTCGGGTTCAAGGCCAGGGCCAATGCGCTCTACCCCTCCACCGCCAGAGGTTCCGGGGCACGCTCAGTCTATGAGGAACTTCTTCTCGCTGTCGGGCCCCTGCTGCTGCGTTTGCGGGCAGAAGTCGGAGCGCAGCAGGCGTGAGAAGTACACCAGGATCATGATGTCGAGGAGCACCAGGTTGAACATGAGGAAAGCTCCCTGCCCGCGCACCTCCACGAACCGCGCAAAGTACCAGCTCAGGTAGGCCTGGGGTGCCAGGCGGAAGAGAAAGTACACAACCAGGTTGGCATACTTGTTGACCTGGTAGAGGGTGGGGAATGGCAGGTTGCCCAGCCGCATCATCATCCGGATGGTCAGGAAGATGTTGCTCACCTCCACGAAGAGCGAGATCAGCCCTGCCCCCGTTCAGCAAAATCCCTGAGAACAAGCCCGTGACGGCCTGAGAGAGACAACGGGGAGGGGGAGGTTAACCAGAACGGCGGTTTTCTGCCACACCTTAATTATCATCCAACAGCAGGTCACGACAGAGGTTGGCCTGATCGAAGCTGCAGTCAACTTATGCTTATGAAGAAGCACATTTTAACATTGCTGTTAACAGATGAACACAAAGCACACAGCGTTCGTCTGGCTTCACGGCAAGGGAATCCGGTTTATCTGTACAGCAGAATCAAAGCCTCGTCAGTGCCTCTGGCTTCCTTAATCTGCCTTAATCTCTGGTGAGTCAGATTTTGCACAATCAGGGTACAAATACTGAATTGCAGTGATTTTCCTAATTGTTTTTGGAGGACACCTCCCCTTTGGGGGTTCCTTTGGAAGCTTTGCAGAGAAGATCAAGAAGCGTGCAGGGTATGGGAGGAATCCCGAAGGGAGATCCTCCACCTGCAGGCCCTGCCTCGACATCCTGAACATCATCATGTGCCAACTAGAAAGCAAAGGACCTCCTGCTGAAGCTCAAGATGAACAGACCTCTGCAGACCATGGCGCAGTTGTTCCCGAGATGGCTGAGGCTACGGAGACAGGGGAGTGCAGATCACCTTTACCAAACCCCTTTCTTTCTTACAAGGCATCAGTCACAGCAGGGACGAGGGGCATCCCAATTCAGTTCCATTGGAATGAAATCAGTGCTCAGGTTCTGCTGTTGCTCAAGAAACCGGCCAGCCCTAACTGGGAAAATTCCCCACCTACACCCCTAAAAATGGCACTTCCTTCAAATCTGCAGTTTTGTATCATCCCCGGAGTTGCCTAGAGCTAATGCACAGAGACGACAAGAGGTCCGTGCATTCAGTAAACCGACGATCACGCTTTACTGACTGCGCTTCCCAAGAATTCTGAATTCCATTAAAACACACTCAGCGTTAAAAGCAAGGCCAGCCGGTAGTCCTTCCGCTGCAGAGATGAGCTTGGGAACACGGGGCGGACAGCCAGTGGAAATTCGGGAGTGGGCTGAATGCCTGCCAACTCCCACAGCTATTGAATAAATCCGTTTGCGTGACGCGTCCCTCATCTTCTGAATTCCATTACCAATACAGAATTTACCGATGGGCCAGGGGGTGGGGTCTGGGGTCACACGGGCCAAGTCCACTGCTGAGCAAGGGTTCACCCCTACTTCCAGGAGGATCCTCGCCAACCCCATCCTACTCGCCCCCAACCTCACCAATACTTGCCATTGCATGATGAACCAAGTACTCCCAAGAGGCACAGGACTGCCGGCAGAGGATGATGTCAAGGGAATCATGGATGAAATAACCTGGCGGAGGAGAGAAAGCCATTCCATTCGTGCCACGGCCACACATGCCATGTAGGCTATCTTTCGGCTACGCTCCTGCAGAGTGCAGGGGGCTGGAGGACTAGATGACTGGCAAGGTTCCTTCCAACTCTAACATTCTATGATTCTACCAGTGCCATAAATATGCCAGCCAGAGATGTGGGGCAACAAAGAAAGGGTTCTGGGAGATATTTTCAACAGTGGGAAGTTTTCCAGTGCTTTATTTTTCTGTGTGTGGGGGGGGAAATGTCCGCTTCTAAACACTATTTCATAAAATTAACAATGAGTGGCTGCTGTTGCCAACAGAATATCAGGCAAGCTGGGCAGTTCCAGGTTGTTACCCATACGAATTGTGTGAAAAAAATAGGTTTTATTTATCTGCAAATGGAATGGAGGAACAGAATCACAAATCTATATAATCAAACTAAAAAATCTTTATGAATTCAGTAAGTTGGTAGGTCGAATCTAAACCAAAGCTAAAATCTTTATTTATATGCTTCCTTTCACATGGTACAAGGGATATTACAATACCCAAATCTGATACAGAACTAACAAGTAATACACGTGATGCCACAGAGAGTGACATGTGAACCCGAGGTGCCTCAGTGACTGCCATGGACAAAACTTACATGTTGTTGGAACACGAGTAGACAAGCACATGAGTGGAATGTTATGCACAGTTCTCTGGGTGTGCAACGATTAGTGCGTGCCAACACTCCTCAGTGTCTTTGGCTTTTTCTTAAATAATGTTAAGTCATCTAGATTGTCTTTAAAGGTTTGCAATAAAAATGATTTCCACATCAAATTGTGAAATGAACACTTAAAAGTACACTTGATTTATTTTTATCAAATACTTCAATTTGACTATCTGCTACTATTAGGACACCACATTAGCATGAAGTACTTTTAAAGTTTGTTTGCTGTACATCAGTCCAAATAAAGATACTAACTTAGATCATGTTCTATGTCAGGTATCCAACTTTCTCAATTCACATTTTTCTAGAAAACCCACATCCATGGTGCAGGGGCACATCTCTTTTTTAGCCTTCAAAGTTGAAACAGGAGCAACTGGCCTGCTGGATCAGACCACATAACCCAGCATTCAGTCTTCAGCCAACGCCCCTGCAGCCCTCCAGCGGCACCGATCCAATGTGACACGTGCCACTCTGGATGGAAGTCCTGTCAACATGGCTCACAGCTGATGGTATGAATTTATCCTATCTCTTAAAAAAAATCTAAACTAGTACCAATGGCCACATCTAGTGGCAGTGAGTTCCATATGTATATATTAAGATTTTAATATGTAGTATATGTTTTAAATTTTTATGTATATGATTGTTTTACCATGGCAAGTGTTCTTGCCTCTGTAAGCCGCCCTGAGCCCTCGGGGGAGGGCGGGGTATAAGTACGAAAAATAAATAAATAAATAAATAAATAAGCCAAGTCCACAATGTGTGAAGTAGCTGTCTGCCCTGAACATCAATCAACCTCGATACGTGCCCCCAAATTCTGGTATTTTAAAAGAGGGAAAGGAAAGCTCTCTTTCACCTGTAGTTTTCCAAACCTCTCTCATATTTTTATATAAGCTAAAGCAGGGGTGTCAAACATGCGGCCCTTCAAACTTGAAAGTGGAACTGGCTGTCTTCTGCTTCTTCTTCCAGTACTGCTGCTGCTGCGTCATCGTAGGTTTGCAGCTTACAAATACACAGCTGAACAGCACACTCAAGATTGCAACAGCACAGATATTTTGATGCAGTAATTCAGAGCAAGAGATGTCCTTCAGACACTGTTAAACAAAATATTGCAAGAGTGCTAATGTTTTAAGCATGTTTTTATTTTAAGTAAAAAACAACACCTTTGTGTTTGTGTCCTTTATAAAGTTTATATCTCCGCTACCTAGCATTACATTTCAGGCCCCTTCTGCTTTACCTCTTCCTGCTAGGGAAGGTTCTCCTCAACTATTTCAGTGCTTGGACCTGCAAATGTTTTAAAGGTGTAGTCTATGCACGTAGCTCCAAAACACCAGCTCTCATTGTTGTCCATATTCAGGGCTGTGCTGCGCCTCCTGTTTGTTCACAAATGTCTTTGTGGGCTCAGGAAAACCCTCACTTTGGGCGGAGGTCAAAGGAAAGGATGCAGCGAGGCACCCCACCCCACCTGCAAAGCTGAGGCTGCATCTGCTGGTGCCATGCAAACAAGGAAGTTCGGGGCCAGTGTCTGAGGAAACCATTGCCACAGAACGCAGTGCAGAGTGAAAGCACAGATGCTGCAACAGAAATGCCATCATCTCTTTGTGCAACAGTCTCTACAGGCAACCGGAGACTGGTGGGAACCGAATTCAGCTTATCGGGACTGGCAAGGAGCGGCAGCTTCACGGCTGTTCCAGGCACAGAGACTTGGTTAAGTCTGCTCAGGTGTGTATCATCCAAACATCAGAACAGATGCTTTGGAAAGATCTTGATTCTCAGATGAGAGGATTCAAGACTCTTCAAAGGGCCACCTTTCACCTGTCCTCCTTTTAGACCAGCTCCTCCCCACTTTGTTTGGTGCTGCACATTTCACAGAATCATAGAATCACAGAATCGGAAGGGGCCGTTTCTAGTCCAACCCCCTGCTCAATGCAGGATCAGCCTAGAGCAGGGGTGTCAAACTCATTTGCTATGAGGACCGGATCTGACATAAATGAGACCTTGCTGGGCCGGGCCACGTGTGTCATAAAATGTAATGCCAGGTAGCGGAGATATAAACTTTATAAAGGACACAAACACAAAGGTGGGTTTTTTTACTTAAAATAAAGAAACATGCTTAAAACATTAGCTCTGTAAACTGCAAACCTACTTTTGATTTATTGACATTCACCGCAGAAATCTCACGCTCAGAGTTCTGAGTCTAGGACCCGGGTTAAAACATGAAATGGCTGAGTGATTAAGAGTCTGCTGAAGCAAGCTATGATGCAGAAGCAGCAGCAGAACTGGAAGCAGGAGATGGCCAGTTCCACTGCTGGCCTGATGGGAGACCTCCAGGGGCCTCATCCGGCCCCTGGGCCGCACGTTTGACACCCCTGGCCTAGAGCATCCCTGACAAGTGTTTGTCCAGCCGCTGCTTAAAGACTGCCAGTGAGGGGGAGCTCACTATCTCCCTAGGCAGCAGATTCTACTGTTGCAGAGCTCTTACTGTAAAAAGGTTTTTCCTAAGATCCAGCCGGTACCTTCCCGCCCTTAATTTAAACCCGTGATTGCGATTCCTGTCCTCTGCTGCCAAAAGGAACAGCTCCCTGCCCTCCTCTAAGTGACAGCCCTTCAAATACTTCAAGAGAGCCATCATGTTCCCCCCTCAACCCCCTCTTCTCCAGACTAAACATTCCCAAGTCCCTCAGCCTTTCCTCATAGGGCTTGGTCACCAGGCCCCTTTGGCCGATAAAGACCTCTGGAGATCTCGAAAAATCTGCTTGCGGCTTTGTGACATTTTGATTGGCCCTGATAAATAATTTTCATGCAATAGTTTCAGCCTACCTAAGGGACCGCCTTGCCCCACATGTTCCCCCAAGAGCACTACGGTCAGGGAGCCGGAACCTATTGGATGTACCAGGTCCCCGGTCCATCAAACTAACCATGACCAGGAACAGGGCGTTTTCGGTGGCGGCTCCTATCTGGTGGAATGAGCTCCCAGAGGAGATCAGGGCTCTGCGGGACCTAGCACAGTTCCGCAGAGCCTGCAAGACGGAGCTCTTCCGCCAGGCTTTTGAATAGGAGCCGCCGCCGCCACCAGTATACCACCAACGCATCAGTATACCATCAACGCCCTGGAATTCCTGGAATCCCCGGAATTTCCGGTATATGGACAGCTGGATATGGGCATGGACCATCAAAGCCCTAAAAATTCTTTGCATCATGGGCGAGAATGGGACGTTCAGAGGACTGCCATCCTGTTTTTAGATAGTCTTGTTTTTAGATAGGCTATAAATTGTGATGTACTTTTAATATTTTGTACTGTTTTTATTGTTTTATTAGCCTTATGCCTGTTAGCCGCCCTGAGCCTCCGGGGAGGGCGGGATAAAAATGTAAATAATAAATAAACAAATAAACTGTAGTCTTTGGAAATTATCTAAGGAACAATATGCCTCCCTTGCAACCTATATGTCTGTTTCATAAATGGAATCTCAACCAGCCTCGGAGCCGCTTCAAAGAGTCAATGGAAGCAACTGTGCCTTGCAGTGCCTGAAGTTCAAGTTTGTGAAGCAATTAAAACTTTGCAACCTTGCTTATTACCTCCCTGTTATTTTCAAGCCCTTTGTTCTTACTGGGAAAATGTCCCCATGGGAAATTTTTGACAGGGGACATCTGCACGCTACTGGCGCCTCCTGGGTAGACAATTGTATTTGTGTATTGAGAAACTGCAAGGTGGGAGACCAAGACTCGAACTCCAGTCTCCCTGCCCAGTTCTCTCCACTCAGATGTTCACCTGACCTCCTCCTCCGGCTCGGGAGGTTTCCTATCGTCCCCATAACCAGTAGCCATCCACGGATCTCTCCTTACACAAACCTGTCTCATCCTGTTAAAAGCTGTCCGGCCTTGGTCTTACCTGAAGCGAAGCAGAGGAGCAGACGTCCAGAAGGCGGGGCTGTGTCAACGATATCTGAGAAGATCTCGGGCATCTGCCAAACCCTGGGGTTGGGGAGGCAAGGACAGTCTCAGGAACACAAGCTTCCCTTTTTTCGCCTGCAAACATGGCTTTCATGAAAGCCCAGGAGCTGCTGGAGGATCGATTTTCCTTACTGTGCCCAAAACTGTCTCCAAATTTTGGAATCACATCTTTGCAAGGCACTCAGTGTGCCCTCTAAACTGAGCGAGTGTGAGCTAGCTCACAGGTTTTCTAAGCCTCCGGCTCACACGTTTTTGTCTTAGCTCAGGAAGGAGTGCCTCCAGAGCGAACTAATTGATGCAGCAGCCAAATCGCGTGCTCACAACTTTGATGCCAGTAGCTCACAAAGTAGAATTTTTGCTCACAAGACTCCACGGCTTAGAGGGAGCATTGGGGCCCACGCCCAAATTTAATCCTACTGTCTCCCCCCCCCCCCCTTTCCGGGATAGGACCCCCCCCCCACACAGAGGGGCGCCCCACAAGCAGAGGGCAGGTAAGAATGTAAGAGCCCTGCTGGATCTGACCAGTTGTCCATATAGTCCAGCATCCTGTCTTACGCAGTGGCCCACCAATAGCTCTGGAGGGCTTCAAGGCCGAGGCTTTCCCCTGATGTTGCCTCCTGGCTCTGGGATTCAGAGGTTTAGTGCCTCTGAATGTGGAGGTTTCTCTCAGTCATGGTAGCTAGACAGACCTCTCCTCCACGAATCTATCTAATCTGCCTTTAAAGCTGTTTATTCCTGATAAGAGGAGGCGGCATCTACTGAGCAAAAGGACAATTTCCGTTTGCAAGTCCAGCCGGGAGAAGAGAGAAAACACACCCACGGCCAGCCAATGCTCCCTCTAAGCGGTGGAGTCTTGTGAGCAAAAATTCTACTTTGTGAGCTGCTGGCATTCAAGTTGTGAGCGAGCGATTTGGCTCTTGCATTGATTCGTTTGTTCTGGAACCCTCCTTCCTGAGCTAAGACAAAAATCTGTGAGCTGGAGGCTAAAAAACTGTGAGCCTAGCTCACACTAACTCAGCTGAGAGGGACCATTGACGCCAGCATACCCCCATCAGACTCGAGGACAAGGGGAGCTTTTGCCCAGCCTCCAGCACCTGCCCATCAGTCAGACCTCAGCACAAGGTCAAATCCTCCACTGCTCTGACAACAAGCTTCTTCCAAGGGAGGCTGTTTCTCCAATGCACCCGGAAGATGACTCTGATTTTCCAAAAGGAAGCAGGCTTTCCTTCGCCAATCCCCCAAATAGTTAAAGAAAAAACACCTCACCAGGAAAAAAAAGAGGGGGGGGGGGATACTGCAGTGTTGTCAGTCAGTTGCGTAGGAACAGAAGAAAAGAGCCGCGGTCCGTGTTCCTTTCTCCTCCGGTTCTGGGACTGGGGGCTCCACATCCCACCCTCTCTGGAGCCCAGGGACCCGCTTGGCCCGGCAGTGCCCACCCTGTTTGGGTTGAACGGCTATTTGGGGGGGAGGTTTTTTGCATGGCACAACTCGGGCACCCAGACCCGAGGCATCCCCCGCCCCGCTGGCATCCCCTGTCCTGGTCCAGGGGAACAAGACCGCGAAGGGCGAGCCCGCCAGGTGGCAAAGCCGAGAGAGCCCGGGCCGGCCCCCAGGGCGACGGGGCCCGCACCCGGATGCCGGGGCGCACTCTACGTACGCTCGGAGGGCCTCTCGCCACCGCCGGGGGCGCGCACGGCTCGCCTTACCCGGCCACGGCCCAGATCCCCGCCACGATGGAGTGGACGAAGGAGACGAGGAGGTTCCTCCAGCGCCAGATACGGGTGGCGTCGCGGCGCACGTGAGCCGGCAACGGGCAGCGGCCGAGCCCCCAGCGGAGCGCCCCGAAGAGCAGCGTGGAGCCCGCCACCAGCCCGGCCGATCGCAGCCACGGGCCCATGGCGGGGCCGGAGGGGGCGCCTTCCTCTCCGGACGCGCCTCGGCCGGCCACGTGCGCTCTGGCAGGGCCGCCCCGGGATCCCCACCCAGGGGGAGGAGCCGGGCCCCGCCCCGGGAGGAGGAGGAGGGCGCGCCATGGCGCCGGCCGCCAGCCCCTCGGGGCGGTTGGCCGGGGATTCTGTGCGCCCTCGCGTGGGTGGACTCGCGGAACTCACCGCCACAAGGCGCCCTCGGGGGGCGGGGGGGCGGCTCCGCCGTGGGTACCTGGAAGGCTTTCCGGTCTCCGAGGGGAGCGGACTGGCCTCGCTCCTGCTTGGGGCTAAGGCTGCGGAACCCTCAGAAGATTCTGGGGAGACCAGAAGAGAGGTTCCGGCGGCTGGAGGGGGACATCTGCCTACCGGGGAAGTCTTTAGATAGGGTTGCCGGCTCTGGGTTGGGAAATACCTGGAGATTTCGGAGGTGGAACCTGGGAGGGCGGGGTGATTCCGGGGGATCTCCAGACTGGCAACAACACGCCCAGCCTCAGCAGCCAGGTTTGGAGGCGGAGATTGGGGGATGCAGAGTAATTCCGGGAGATCTCCAGCCACCGCCTGGAGACTGGCAACCAGAGTAAAGTTTCTGGGGGCTGGAAGGAGAATCTCCTGCAGAGAAAGGTGCGGTATTAAGCCCCAGCAGAATCTGGCTTTGGAGCCTTCCGTTCTCCCGTGCAGTTTTTCCATTGGGCCTTCCCCAACTAATCCTGTTCACCTGTCGCAATAAAGGCAGGTACAACCTACATGTGTTTATTCTTTTTTTGACATCAAGTCACAGCTGGCTTATGGGTCCCCTGGTGTGGTTTTCAAAGCAAGAGACCTTCAGAGGTGGTTTGCCACAGCCTGCCTCTGCATCACAACCCTGGTATTCTTTGGTGGTCTCCCATCCAAATACTGACCGTGGCTGACCTTGCCTCGCTTCTGAGATCTGACAAGACTGGGCTAGCCTGGGCCACTGACATCAGAGCAGATCCTGCATGCAGATATGGCCAATTATTAAGCTCTCTGTAATTTGCCCTTCCTCTGCAAGATGATAGATGTGGATCCTTTTCAGTCTGGGCTATGGGACAAAGAGAGCTCTGGTAGCCTTAGCTGAGGACCTCTGCCTTAATGTAGACAAAGGCTGTCGTTTAGTGGACTTATCATCAGTGCTTGAGAAGCTGGGCCCTGCCGCCCTGTTGAGGGGCTTGAAGGCAGAAGTAGGTATCAAGGGACATGCTTTGGATTGGTTTGATTGGTTCCTTGTGGATCAGATTCAGAGGGTTATTTTGCTTTGTCTAGACCACCTGGCACTGTATGAGCGCTGGGCTGCTGTATTTCAATGTCTGAAGGTGAAGAAGCTGAAACTGAATCCTGACAAGTGGGAGGTGATGCTAGTCTGGAATGCCCTGGGGGATATGGTTCTTCCCACATCTGCTGGGTTTCAACTGACGCTTGCTGACACCATTAAAAGCTTGAAGGATGTATTGGACTCAGCATTATTGTCAGCGAAGCACGTTATTTCAGATGGGGAAAAATGTTTTGGTTGACCACATTAATTCATGCCACCGTAATCTTGAGGTTAGACTGCTGTATTGCACTTTGCGTAGGCCTGCCTTAGAAGATAAATTGGGCTTCACCTGGTACCAATCACCACAGCTTAATTACTATAGGGAGCTTGGGGGTTATACTGGACCCAGCATTATTGCTGGCAGGCCCGTAGCCAGGATTTTTCTATTCCTTCGGGGACATTTAAATGTTTAAGGGGGCAGTTGACTAAATATTTGTTTATTATTTTCTATTTATAACCTGCCTTTCCTGCACGGCAGGCTCAAGGTGGTGTACAACAGGTTAAAAACAATAAAACACAGATGCATAAATGCAACAGTATAAAATTTGCATCGCGAATAATATATGTACAAAGTGCAGTTGAGTGCAGATGGTGATTGCTGTATGGCAGTCCGGTGTTGCAAACCAGTATCCATAGTTGTTCTTGGTGTCACTAACATGGGGGCCGTAACAGTTCAGTTTTTAAGCTCGTTCCTCAGTGGGGGCTCCTAATCGAAGGCCTGGTGGAAGAGCTCCATTTTACAGGCCCTGCGGAACTGTAAAAGGTCCCGCAGGGCCCTGATGTCTTCTGGGAGCTCAGGTGGGCAGTATGTGGCATGCAGGAAAGGCGCGTGCCCCCCCAGAAGAAGATGAAGTGAGGCAGGCTGGCCAGGAGGCTGGTGGCAGGCAAGGTGGAGGAGGAGGAGGTGGTGGCAGCTGAGAGCTGCTGGGGACGGGGGGAGCCCAGCGCCGACAGTGTTCTGGTGTTGGATGGCTTGAGGCCCTCCGGTGTTGGGGAACCCAGCAACGGGGTTGGCAAGGCAGATGCCAAGGAGGAGCTCCATGGAGAAGGCAGCGGCTACGGTGACGGTGCAGGGCGGCCCCAAAGGAGGAGCAGCCCCGGGGTGGAGGCAGTAACAGCATCCGCCACAGCATCAGCCATCCTCACCTTGCTCCTTGGCCAGCTGGGGGCTCTCGCCTGCCTGCTGTCCTGGCCCCTGGCCAGCAGGTGGAGAGCCAGCTGCAAGCTATCCCGCTGGCCAACGTGACTTTAAAATATTTGAATATATTTTATCAAAAGTTTCTGGCATGGTTATTTGTGGGGCATGGCTTTTAATTTAAGGGGACAGGGCCCCAAAATGCCCCACTGTAGCTATCGGCCCGATTGCTGGTGAAGCAAGTTATTTCCACTGGGGGGAGAGGAAATGCTCTCTTCTATCTAGTAATATAAGTGTCTTGTCTTAGCCACAGGCCATAACATAATGCATCAGACTATAAAATGGTAGTGTAAACAATAAAAAATATCCTATACTCCTTCTACTTTGCATTAAATACTAAACTCATTCTGATTTTCCTTGTTACTAAGGCGAATAATGCCATTCTGCTAGAGGCATAGTGGTCAAGGTCCGAGAGTGAATATTTGACCAGATCCAGATCGGAGAGTCCGTTATGCTGCGGAATAATAGGGATGATGTACTTTAGCCTAAGCGCTTCATGCCACGGGCATCTCAGAGTATAATGTACAATATCAACTTCACCCATATCACAAAGGCAAAGTCTAAGGGGGGCAGGGATACCAAAGTAACGCCCAGTCCTGATCATTGAGGGCATGGATTGAAATCGTAAAGCTGTAAAAGCCAATCTTAATTTCAGGCTGGTTAACTTCTATAAATACAGGGACCTACAGTGATCCCTTTTAAAAAACTTGAGTAATGGTGCCGTAAGACAACATGCCATCACATCCTGATCCATAAGCCCATCCTTTTTGAACACCCATTCCTTCAGTTCCCGTGCTTGGGTTTTATTCCTTAATAGATAATCAGGAATTGAAAATTTCAATTGAATCGAGGCCAAATGGTCACCTAATCTCTTGGAGGCTTTCAGGTGCAAACTAAAACGCAAATCCCCCAGGGAATCCTGGGGTCGTTCTAAACATTTTCTCCAATAGGATAGAATTCTGACATTGACTCTGGCATTCAATGAGGTAATCCCCAGTTCAGCCCTCATTAATGCCACTGGCGCACCCCTTGGCAAGGCGAGAATCCGCCTCATAAAATAATTCTGTACTATTTCTAATGAGGACAATAACTGATCTCCCCAGCCCCAGATCTCTGATCCATATAGCATGGCTGGAATTATCTTACTCCCGTACAGTTTAAGAACTGGGTCTACCATGCCTCCTCCCTTAGAAAAGGAAAATTTCAGTAGAGCCCCCAAATTCTTCATAGCAGCAGCTTTTAATGATGTAAGGTAGGGGCACCAGGAGTTTTAGAAAAGGTTAAACCCAGATATCTATACATGCTGCATTGTTCGATCTGGGTGCCAAGAATGTTTCTTCCATCTTCTCTTGCCCTGAAGATGGCTCTTACCTTGGCCACCTCTGCAAGACCACTTCTTGTCCTATTCACGACTGCTCAGCTCATCTGGCAAAGCCTTCTGAAGGTACAACCCTGTAAAGGGGTTTCAACAACTTCCTATACCCAAGCCTTCTTCTGTAGCTCCCACCTGGTGGAATGGACGGCCCGACAGACTTGAAAGCTTTCCACGCTTGCATAATTCAGCAGAATATGTAAGATGGAATTGTTTGGGAGGGCATGGTTACAAAGGGAATGCAGCTGAAGTTCGTTGCACTGTTTATTGTCTGGATTATCTTATTTTTACTGCATTGTCTTTTAATTCTTGTTGTTAAGTCACTCACTTAACAAAGTAGTCGGAGAGTGATTCAGCAAAGATTCAGCTTTATTCATCAACTCAAACACAACTCCCAACACAGATCAACATCTGATAGCCAGAACAGCTTTTACATTGCAGCTGTCCTGCTTTTAAACTCTCCCGGCTAATGTAGCCACGCCTACTGTACAATTACCAACCAATAAGGTTGCGTACATAAGGACCAATCACGGACGTTCTCGCTCAGGGAGCTTGCTGAGAAGTGATTGGTTAGGTTCTTCCTGGGCTAGCAATGTGATTGGATGTATTTGGATCCTAGCCCAGGACGAAGCTTAACATAGCATTTCAATTATGTTGTTCATTTACAGTTATGGATTCAATGGCAGCTATTGAATACATTACACTTCTAATTCTGTTTTTGCATTGTTTGTGAGATGTCTTGTGCGTCTTGCATGTTTTATTGCATTGCTGTCTGTTTTTGTAATCTGCCTTAAGTCTCAGTAAAAAAGGTAGACTCTATATAAATAAAGCCCCGCCATCGTTTTCCTGACCGGAGATGGCCATAGGAAACCACTAATTGCTGGGGGGGGGGGATACATGTAGCCTTCAGTACAAATGAGGCCTGCAACAGGATCAAAGTTAAGTACATTTATCTATTTTATTTTCAATATTTATTAGCCACCTTCCTTCCTAATGGAGATTTAGGAGATCTGTTCTTTCTAGGCAGCCAGAGGCCTTTTTTTTTGCATCTACAGAAAGTGGCATCAGTGTTTCCCCAGCTGTTTGTGATGATTTAAAAGATTAAGTCCTGCAGATACCATTAGCAATGCCCTGCTGTGAC